ACACCCACCCGCTCCCCCACACCCACCTGCCCCCCCAGCCTTGCGCCCAAATCCCTTCTCCACGCACAGCGTAGGCCCTGTTAGCTCTGTTCCTCCCTGTCAGCCCTGCCCACTCCCCCCTTCGCGCCCATCTGCCCCAGACACAGCCCCGCTACTGCCTCCCTCAGGCCAGGCTCGCTCCTGCAGGGCCCGTGTCTGGACGCGGTTCCTCCGTTTCTGCTCGGGGCTCACTCCCCCGCTCCGTCTTTGCTCAGATGTCACCGTTCAGGGCTGCATGTTTGTGTTGTATGTGGACGCCCAGAGCCCAGTGTGACGGCTGGGCCGTGGGCCCTGGCACGTGACGTGGGTGGCTGAGGTCACGGGGGTGGGCCCCGCGCTGGGATTGGTGCCCTCAGAAGGGACCAGACAGCTCGCTCTCTCCTGCACCCCACTCTTCCCCTCTGCAAGCCGGGGGGGCCTCCCCGGAACCCACCGCACTGGCACCTGAGCTCGGACCCCCAGCCTCCAGACTGAGAGAAAGAATTGTTTCAGCCTCCGTCCGCGGTTCCATGGCACAGCCAGCGCGGACTGACACGGCCTCCGCGGAGCCACCGCTGTCCACCTGACACCCAGCTGTCCCCCGTGTTCCTCCGAAGCCTGTGGACACGAGGCGACTTCCTGGCACAGGACTGGTCGCTGTCCTTGCCTGTTCTGGCCGCGGGGGTGCCCGTAGGGCAGCAATGGCGAACCTATGACCCGTGTCAGAGGTGACACGCAAACTCATTTTTTTGGTTGATTTTTCTGGTAAATGGCATTTAAATATATACAATAAATATCAAAAATATAAGTCTTTGTCTTACTATGGTTGCAAATATCAAAAAATCTCTATATGCCGAGCCGGTTTGGCTCAGTGGATATAGCGTCGGCCTGCGGACTGAAGGGTCCCAGGTTCGATTCCGGTCAAGGGCATGTGCCTGGGTTGCGGGCACATCCCCGGTGGGGGGTGTGCAGGAGGCAGCTGATCGATGTTTCTCTCATTGATGTTTCTGGCTCTCTATCCCTCTGCCTTCTTCTCTGTAAAAATCAATAAAATATATTTTTTTAAAAAAATCTCTATATGTGACACGGCACCAGAGTTAAGTTAGCGTTTTTCAAAATGCTGACACGCCGAGCTCAGAAGGTTCGCCATCACTGGCCTAGCGCTCCCACAGGGCTTGGCGCACAGTAGGTGCTGCATCAGAACGTGGCGAGGAGCTAGTGCTGGCTGAGCGCCTGCGTGTGGGCCCCTGCGTGCGGCTCCCCATGCACCGTCCCCTTCGGGCCGCCCTCCCGGGACTGTGGACACTGGCTGGGCCCAGGGAGGGGGCCGCCTGGCCAAGGCCACAGAGTGGGGAGGGGCAGGCAGGGGCAGGACGGGGAAGTCAGGGCCGCAGGCGTGCCCGCACAGGGCAGCTGTGCCCTCACTCCTGCCAGGTGCCGTTCCCAGGGTGACCGTGGGCCCATTTCCCAGATGGGGACACTGAGGCACAGCTGGGCCCGGACACTCAGCCAGCCAGGACGCGGCAGAGCCGGGACCAGAGCCCGCAGTCTAAGCCCCTCGGACA